AAACCCCAGTCCTTAAATATCTCAATTAAAAGCCCTATTAGGGTTGCTAGAAGTTGGTTCCAACTTGACAGCTCGTAATATCACAGTTAAAAAATGCTGTAAACATGGTGTTTCTCTTTATGTTTCTGCATAATTTAAAAACTATTCTCACATGTGCAAGTCCTTAAATATCTCAATTACCTTGAAAGCCCTATTAGATTGCTAGAAGTTGGTTCCAACTTGACAACTTGTAATATCACAGTTAAAAATGCTTTAAACATGGTGTTTCTCTTTATGTTTCTGTATAATTTAAAAACTATTCTCACATGTGCAAATGGAAAGCTATTATTAATAACATATGAATGACAGCACTCTTCCTCTGGAATGTAGACCAGTGGTTCTTAACCTTGGGTTACTGGAAAGCTATTATTAATAACATATGAATGACAGCACTCTTCCTCTGGAATGTAGACAAAGGATATCATACAGCCTGTTCCATCGCAAAGGATTTGAACTGTAGACATCCAAGGAGCCAGTTGGGAGGGTGGAGTAGAGTTCAGTTCTTGCTTTTGCTAAGTACTTGGGAGTTAAATACCTTTTAAAATATTCTTCAGATCGCCCAGAGGTCTACCAGTAGGTCCAGACCTACCTTCTGTTCACCTCTGATCTACAGCAGGCTTATCTCCTTCATGGAAGTGGGAAGTCGAACATTAATAACAGTGTCTTCTTTTGACAGTTAAGTTCATATCTGAGATTAGAGAACTAAAGGGTTTTTTTATTTCACAAAGCTATTATTATTCTCCTGTGAGTCAAGAAATCCTAGCAATTGCCTCAAAAATACCAAAATGATCTTAGTCTTTCGAGTTATTCAGATTTTTCAATTAAGACATATTTCCAGCTAGCTATTTGAGTACATCTCAGATTTTCTTTTTAAGATGCCACATTCATTACCTTCTTCACTTCCTGCAGAAAAAAGAGGTTTCTCTTTCCAGAGGTTTTTTGTTTATATCAGTGGGATAGGGAGCTTTGGTTGACTTTGTGTGGGAGAAATTACTGGCAGGAAATTAAGTTAGAGAAATTAGCTTTGCCGTCTATAAAGAGGTCTGCAATACTACCAGTCTTCCACTGGAGAGAATTGTCTTGCCTCAAATCCAGCTTTCTGTCATGTCCTGTTTTATATACGAATATATATTCGTGGAGCTGTTGGTTCACATTTCAGTATCCCAGAAGACTGCAACGGTGCTGACTACTGAAAGACATAATAGATTTTTTGATAGCTGAGGATTGTTTCTTGTCAATGGTTAGGAGTATCAGCATAAAAATCTTAAAATTAAACTCAGAATTCTGAAGGGAAATAGGGCTGTCTTACTGCATTATCAATGGTTGAATTAAATTTCTAATTTTACCAACCTGGACTATAGAGATGGATTTCTGGTTTTTTAGGAGTTTCAAAATTTGCCAAGAATCCCCATGTAGAATCCTGCTAGTGGAAGCCCTCAAACAATGAGGCTTCAGGCACCTTTTCCCACTTCTATGCTCTTCCTGGCAGCTTCTGCTTTGGAAAGTGAGGAAACTGCCCCATCTGGGATTCACAGAGATTCATGGGACAGGTAGTTCTTTTGGAGGCACCCTCTATACAACTTAATGAACATAAAGACTGCCCCTCTCATGAACTGTTGAAAGTCCCAATGCATCACTCTATTTGTTATTTTTAATTGTAACCCACTTATCCTTGAGAGAAAGAAAATCATACAATGAATGAATGAATCAATGACCCTCTATACAACTTAATGAACATAAAGACTGCCCCTCTCATGAACTGTTGAAAGTCCCAATGCATCACTCTATTTGTTATTTTTAATTGTAACCCACTTATCCTTGAGAGAAAGAAAATCATACAATGAATGAATTAATGAATGAAACAATATACAGTGGGGTCTTGACTTGAGAACTTAATCCGTACTGGAAGGCGGTTCTCAAGTCAAAAAGTCTGTAAGTCAAGCCTCCATTGACCTACAGTGCATTGAAAACCGATTAATCCCGTAACAGGCCGTTTTTGTTTCATTTTGGTTTTTTTCTGGTCTGTAAGTCAAATCTCAATCTGCAAATTAAACCTAAATTTTGTGGCCAGAGAAGTCTGTAACTCAAAAAGTCTGTAAGTCAAGCCGTCTGTAAATCAAGGGTCCACTGTACACAGTGTTTTTCTTCTGTAAGTAGAGGGTCCACTGTACAGTGTTTTTTGAGCTTTGTGTCACCAATAAGCAAATGACGCCCAGCCCTTCTCTCCTTCCACTCCTCTGCAGAGGATGCCGTCCTGTCCCTTGAGCACTGCCTAGACCCTGTGATAGGGGGAATGACTCTGCAGAGGATGCCATCCTGTCCCTTGAGTGCTGCCTAGACCTTGTGATAGGGTGAATGGGGGATAATAGACTGAGGCTGACCCTGGACAAGGTGGAAGTCATACAAGTGGCTGACCCTAGTTTCTGCAGATTGGGTGCCTCCCTTTCTTTTGGGAGGGGCTACTCTCCTCACTAAGAATAAGGTTCACAGTCTAGATGTACTTCTGGGATGCCATCCTGTCCCTTGAGTGCTGCCTAGACCTTGTGATAGGGTGAATGGGGGATAATAGACTGAGGCTGACCCTGGACAAGGTGGAAGTCATACAAGTGGCTGACCCTAGTTTCTGCAGATTGGGTGCCTCCCTTTCTTTTGGGAGGGGCTACTCTCCTCACTAAGAATAAGGTTCACAGTCTAGATGTACTTCTGGACCCAGTGCTGTCAGTGGAGTCCCATATAGTTGTCTGTGATCTGCTCAGCCTTTTCCCAGCTGAGGCAGATTGCTCAGGTGCATCCCTACCTTGACGCTAGGTCCCTCACCACTCTGGTCCATGCATTGGTAGTCTCGAGATGAGACTACTGTAATGCTCTCTACATGGGGCTGCCTATGAGGCTGATATGGAAATTTCAGCAAGTCCAGAACACGGCTGCCAGATTACTGAATGAAGAAATACCATCATATCATCCTTACTCTGGCCGTCCTGCACTGGTTATCTGTTCATTTCCATGCCAGCTTCAGGGTGATGATGTTGACATACAACACCCTATTTTCCATGCCAGCTTCAGGGTGATGATGTTGACATACAAAGCCCTGAAGGGTTTGGCACCTTCATTCCTGGCAGAATGCCTCCTTCCAATGAGATCTGCCTTTCCTGTATGATCTTCCCAGGCTGAGCAGTTGAGAACCTTGACCCCAAGAGATGTTCACAAAGAGAAGACCAAAAACAGGGCCTTCTCAGCAGTCGCTCCTCATCTTTGAGCTTCAGGGTGATGATGTTGACATACAAAGCCCTGAAGGGTTTGGCACCTTCATTCCTGGCAGAATGCCTCCTTCCAATGAGATCTGCCTTTCCTGTATGATCTTCCCAGGCTGAGCAGTTGAGAACCTTGACCCCAAGAGATGTTCACAAAGAGAAGACCAAAAACAGGGCCTTCTCAGCAGTCGCTCCTCATCTTTGGAATAATCTCCTGCCTGAAAATCGCCTGGCCCCTTCATGGGGAATTTTTAAACGGTCATTGAAAACCTGGCTTTTTAAACAGGCCTTCCCAGAGCTTACAACATCATACCATAGGGATTGTCTCAGCATTCATATTGTCAAGTCTGCCATCTTGCCTTTTAATTACTTTTAATTATTTTCTGTTAATTCTATGTTGCTTTTGCATGCGCACGTTGTTATTTAATTTTTATTTGCTATAGCTATTTTGGTTATTGTTCTTAAACTGTTGTCTTTTACGTTGTGTATTGTAAACTGCCCAGAGTGACCTTGGCAGCCAGATGGGCATTATAAAAGTCAAACAAACAAATAAACAAACATTTTATCCTAACTGAACAGAGGGTTAGACCTGGTTTCAAATCCCTGCTGGGCCATGGAGACTCAGTGGGACGGTGACAAAGGTAAACCACTCCTTGAACATCTCACAAATCTTGAAAACTCTACTAAGATCGGCATAAATCTTGATCGCCAATGACAACAGTCTCTCGTCCCATACATTCTGGTATGAGAGGGAGAGACCAACCACATACACTTGAGTGAGAAACATGTTTAAAGTAATGTGACTATAAATTGTGGTTGTGTATGTATGCTCGTTTATATTTTACCATGTAGTGAGCTGCATTACAATTGGGTGAGGGTGGTGGTGGTGGGAATCTGTGCTAATGTGAACAAAGTTACTCTAACAACAGAGACCAAAGACTATGAATGTGTTACCATAAACTAACAGCCACAAGATGTACAATTGAAAGAAGCCTCGTGACTGCTGTAGTTGAGCAGTCCTGTTGATAGATGCAGCGAGTGGAAGCCAACAAAGCTAGAATAATAAAGACTGAACACTGGTGCCACACGAATATCTACTTATCAGATACACTGATTTGAGAATAAGGGCTTATAGTGCTGCCCAGCTGGTAGCTGATCAGGTTCATTGGGAAGGAGAGTGAGATACATATATTTGGGAGAGACTTGTATACATGTCAAAATTCTGTGTGAGATACATATATTTGGGAGAGACTTGTACAGTATACAGGTCAAAATTCTGTTATTATTTTATGCTTGAGTGAGGAAAATCAATTAAGATGGAGCAGCAAATTGCTGCTCATAGCTGAGTTGTTTATGGGTGTGTATATACATATATATGTATATATGCTTACCAAAAAGCTTCTGTCACATTCCCACTTGTCCGTTGGTTGTTTTACCAATCACAGGGCACAAGCTACATGTCGTGTCACTGCCACCAGTTGCTTACATCAACATTGTTTATTATTAATCACAGAGGTACAGGCAATGTGTCATTTTCAGAATAACCAAATAGAAGTTGTTTATTATTACAGATGATGAAAGCAAAATCAATGTCATTAACTCTTAACAGAACATCCTACTTCATCCACTCTCATCCACTTCATCCAACCGCCAACCCTCTCTCTCTACTCCAAACTCCAAAACCACCAATCCTCAAATCTAAAACTCTCAATCTAATCTCTCCAACTCTCAATCTCCCCCCTCTTCCTCCTGCAGAGACTCTTATATCTCATGACTCCACCTCTCCAACACTCTCATTGGTCCATGCAGATAGCACATTAATATTCATGTCCTGGGTGGACACCACATCTTCTGACTCTGAGTATCTGATGTATAAACAAATTGTCACTGAAAGTGTCATAGCACCAAACCCCTCTCTCTCCAGAACCAACTCTGGGGAAAAATAAACCACCCCCTCAGCAGAGACAAAAAAAAGCATGGCAAAGTAGGGGAAAAGGCACTTCACACATTGGATCAAGGCTTGCATTGTTTGGATGGCAGGAGAAACCAACAGTGCAGAACCCGGTACTTTTACTGTTTGCTCCAACTTGAAGAGCCTTGGGTTCCACTTAGCTTAATGGACCTTGTTTCTAAGCAGACATGTTTTGGCTTGCACTGTAATTCCATAAGTCATGAAAGTCAAAAAACAGCAAACAAACAAAGAACAAATCAGGGTGAAGAATCTCTGGTCCTCCAAATTATGTTTTTTTAATTACAGTTCCTATAGTTTTAACTCTTCACCATGCAGGAAGAATCTGTTGAGGGTTGTAGACCCACTACCAGCACAACAGGGCCAAAAAGATGGGTAAACAATAAAATATAGGTAAGCAGAAGTATCTATGAGTGGTGGAGAGGATCCATCACTTCTGCGCCCTTACCCAAAAGTTAGAGTTAGTGGACACATGGCACTTATTCTAAAGGCTTCCACAGGGACACAGTACACTAGCTGTGTTGATCTGTTGCAGCAGAACCAGTGGTTTTTTCTGCCTTGAAGACTGATTTATTATGACACACACATTTGCAAACTTGAGTCTATGTCTGCTTTCACCCCATCTTAATAAATGTTGGTTTTTAAGGTGGCACAAGATGGTTGCTTTTGTCTCAGACTTGCAGAGCTCAGTCAAAACATGGTTGTTCCATGGAAAAGACATGCTTTTGCCAAGCCTTCAGAGACACCGTAAAACAGATCTCATTCCAGTTGAGTTGGGAAGCAGGATGATGAGGAAGAAGAACTCCACTTATACTGGGGAGTGAAAACAATCCATTAGAACCTTGACAATGACAAATTTTGTTGCACCTTGAAACCAACCACTCTTTAATTTGGCTTAAGCTTTATGTGGCTTGCAATATTTTCAGGTGCAAGAGTGCTAAACTCCCTGAAATATTATCCAAAATGAAACTCACTAGTCTTTAAGGTGCGATAAAGCTCATTATTGTTTTTCCCAGAACAGATTAACATGGCTACTTCCTGAGAATTAAAACCTTAAGATATATTCTGGGATAGGCACAGGGTTTTCTATGCAACAGCATCAGACAAAAGTGTCCCAAAGAGGCAGAGCAGAGATATTTGTGTATTTTTGCTACAGAGCAATTCAAGAAACCCACACTTGACATCAGGTCAGTTTTCACTTACTCCTATGAATCACTGAAGTCTTTCTCTGATGCTTAGGGGGTTTGCCTGCACACTGAAGTTCCACCTTATTCCCAGGACTGATGGTGCTGTATAGTGCTCCCCATCTCAGCTCTTCATTTTCCCCATTCCATTTCTCTCCCCCCCCACCCCACTTCCCCAGTCTGAAAACATATAAATATCTGCACAAATTGGTTCAAGCCATCTCCAAACCAACTCATGCCAGGCCACTCCCATCTATATACTGAACATTTGGGTAAAAATTTGATCAGATGGTACTCACACATACTCCTAGTTTTCTGATCATGGAGTGTGTATACAGGGCAGGGGAGACAAGTTAAGAGATTCTTGAGCATCTGAAAAAGAAGGGATCAGTTAAAAAATTAGACATCCATATGTGGCCCTGGATAATTTCTTAATTTGTGAAGAACTCTAGACTGACCCCAAGGGGTCCTTTGTGGATTGCGCAGCGTGATGGGCTCTATTTTCATATAAAGAATAATATCAGACACTACAGGACAAGGAATACTGCACACTGTGAGGGATCAATTGGATGAATGGAGAGGTAGATTGCTGAAGCCCATGAGCTTCTGGAAGTACTTGATCGCCCCCTAGCTTTGCAACAAGTTGGGGAGGGCCTCTGGATAGACAAGAGTCGACATTCCCAAGAAAGTGGAGTTTTGTTCACACTGGCCCCCTGCCTTAGAATCCTGGGCTGGCCTCATTGTGATGCTTCCATGGTTGCCGTGACAGCGGCTCCCACCTGGAGCACCTCCATGCTGACTCAGCCTGGGAAAGGGCTGCAGTGAGGGATGAAGAAAAGATGCGATTGCGTGAGAGCAGAGGTGCCCAGAACCTTGCCCTCTTGCTGGGCTTGATCCTGAATCTTCGGGCGGAGAAGCCTGTGAGCTCTGCTAACATCAGTTTAGCTCTAGAAGCAGCTATATCAGAGCCCATAGTAGTGGAATCGGGTGAGGGACTAGAGGCAAAGTGGGAGTAGCTTGAATGAAGGACGTGGCCTTTTGAACCTGCTGGGTGTGTGTGTGTGGGGGTGAAGGAGCACAGAAAAGAAGGACTGCAGAATCTTTGGCATCCTTAAAATTACAGCTGCCGTTGCTTAATGGTGGCAAATGAGCTTTAAAAGGGGCACCAGTCTTTATATATGCTTGTTTGCAGAAGCTGCTTCTTCTGACAAGCTTTGACTCAAAGCGTGCCCCTTTGGTCATGTTCTGTCACCGTCCAAATGACTCTGCCTCCCTCTCAACTCCACCACCAGAGGCTGGTGATATGTTCCAGGAATTCTCACTCATACTGACCTTATCTTCTGATTCCTTTGAAGGAGCTGGAGGCTGTTCAGCTTGGCCAGAACAGTTCTCCTAGATGAAAAGTAGATGCCGCATGTGTTAGGCCAGATATTTACAAGACTGAGTAAGAGTCGTGATTCTTTGAATAACACTTAATCATCCCTCTTCAGGATGTAATGTGTCTTCTTTCAACTGCCTGCCCTAAATTTGATATGCAATCAGTGGGAAGAAGGTGACACATTTGTGCAATGACTTATTATGAAACCAAAAGAGAACCTCTTGAAAACAGAGAAGATAATGCTAAGAGGATCTCCACATTATGTGGTGGGGTGGGGGTTGTTGACATTGCAGGTGAGAAAGGCAGGAAATCAACTGAATTACCTTTTAAGTTCTTGCATTTGTTAATTCCAGAGAGACACTTCAAAATTAAGCACGGATGACGTGAACATATTTGTGACTGGGGCAGAATCCTAAACTTCTGACCGTTTTGTTTGTTCACATTTGAACTTGTGGGCATGCATGACCTTTTTGTTAAAAAAAAGGTTGAGTTTTTATTAAGCAAGAGTATATTGTGCTTATTACGTGTACACCCCACCCAACTTTTCATCAAGGAACTCAGTGCATTGTATATTCTTGTATCCTGACAACGTCCACATGAAGCAGGCAGACCTTAGGAAGGACCCTCTTTTTTGGTTCTAGGAGCTATAGGCCCAAAAGAAGAGTTTCAATCTTTGCAGGCAGATTGGCTGAGAGAAAGTGGTTTCTTAATGGGCAATCTCTAAGCTACACAGCTAAGCTGGAAACTGAATTGGCTTTCCTTGGTCCCAATTAGAGATGGGATTGACTCACCATTTTGGCGAGTCGTCCTCCTTCGTGAGTCGTCAATAGCTGAGAACTCACGAAGCATGAAGTTGCCCCCATGAACTGACAAATAATGAATTTATTCATTGATTTGTGGGGGGTTACTAAAAACAAACACATACCACCCCTGGCCCCCTGCTGCCACCGCCATCCCTCGCTACCACCCCTCACAGCCCCACCGCTGCTGCCCCTTCCACCCCACCCCACCATCCCTGCTGACACCCCCTTACTATAATTGTTGCCACCGCTGCCGAAGTCTCCATCAGGCCTCTGCAGCCACAGCCTGTAGAAAGGGAAACTGGCTGCCCTTTGCAAAGATGGTGGCTGTGGCTTCATTTAGGGTAGGGAAGCCGCAGCTGTCAACTCTGCAAAGGGCAGCCTGGATTCTCTTACTGTAGCTTGCCTTAAGGTGACCATTATGGTATGGGGGTGTCGGTGGGGGAGGGGTGGGGCTAAGGTAGGGAGAGGGGTAGGCTGCGGAGGTGGGTGGCTGTGGGGGTGGGTGGCTGCCTACTGCCCACCGATCAGCCATAGGATGGCTTTCCCCCCTTTATATGGGGAACAAATAAAAATGGGGAAATATTCATCCCTTCATATTTGCGGGGGTCTCTGGAACCCACGAATATGAAGGGATGAATATTTAATGAATTAGTGATTTTAGATGAATATCGCGATCTGTTTTTTATTTGTCCCCATCTCTAGTCCCAATATATTATTCTCTGCCCCGTTGAGTACTCTGCCTCTAGGGTGGGCCACACTTTGATGAACCTTTTTGAGGAAAAAACGTTTGTCTCCAGACTGAATGGATGTGCCAACTGCATCCCATGCAAAACCATGAAGAACCACCTCCCCTCTGCCAGCAGATCCTGGCTCAAAGAAAGTGAGGTACACCAGTCATGGAATGGACAGTTATCTCAATCTTTTGAGTTCACAAGAACTTTTGATCCATTTATTTCTTAGAATTCATGGTCTGAGACATCTAATCTATTGGGAATTTTTTCCATTGAGTGTCCAGCAGACCTACAAGAGCTGGCTTTAAACTGCATTGGTCCATTGTGCTCTATATGGTATCCTCATACTGGCAGAATATTTAGCTGTTTCATGACATTTGTAGTCTGTCCCTCCTCCAAGGAATTCTGCACCACGGAGATGGTTTGCCCTCAGTTTGTCCTCACAACATCTCTGTGTGATAGGACAGGCCGTGATATATTGACCCAGGGTCACTGGTACATTTCATGGCTGAAAGCAATTTACACTAGGGACTTCTCAGTGTCATCTTGGCCTTCTAACTATCATACTCTCCAATCACCTGTCTCTTAAATCTTTTGACTCAGGTTCCCAGGGATCGAACCTGGAAACATTTACGTGAAACGAAGGTGCCTATCTTATTGACCTATCCAACTCCCTTCTGTCAAAAATCACTGTGTTGCAGAGTTCTTACCAGGATATGTATCCAAGCTTTCTTTTAAAAAGCCACCTCCCTTTTCTTTAAGAAAACGGCTTCTCTTTAGGAAATCTATTTTTAAAAAATCATATTATAAACCCTGTAGAAGTTTCCATTCTGGTGCAATGTTTTTGTTTGTACAGTGCTAATTGAATCCAGCACATACTTCTCTGGGAGTCTACTCCTTCTGAGTAAAAATGTATAAAGACCATTCTACATGCCAAGAATGAAAAAAAAATTACCCCTGAAGATAGTGATATTTAGAAGTGTGCTGGCTTTGCTGGTCCCCTTTCTTGTTCTTGTGTTGTTTTGCTTTGCTTTTTTGGTTTGTTATAGTGTGGCAGAATGGTTAAAACATGGCAAAATTTAGGAATGTCCTAAATGCTAGAAGTGTGGGATGGATTGTGGGGGTGGGGTCTTTTATTGCATGATTCTGAACGATTTCATCTGACATTCCTTGAATCTAAAAGCATCTTACAGGTTTTTGTTTAAAATGCATTGAAATATTACATAGATGGTAAATAATAGAACTCATTCCTATTCTGTCTTTAATATGAGAAGACGATATACAGAACTCAAAGTGATAGAGAATCTCTGTGTGAATTCCTCAACTCTGCGTTCTCATGGGTGGGTGGGGTGTGTTTGCGGGTGGGCGGGGTGTGCTCTTGTGCACTCGCTGGTGGGTGGGGCACCCGTACATGCAGGTGGATGGGCCGTGTGTGCGGGTGGGTGTGCATGGGGGGAGTGCATGCCGGGGGGGGCCAGGAGGTCTGTCTCTGCAGCCCGATCCTGCCAAGGCCACAGACCAGCACCAGGTTGCAGACTGGGGTTGGGGACCCCTGTGTTAGATAGAAATAAGTATAACATCAATTAATGAGGATCCTCATGGCTCAGTGGTTGAACTGCAATACTGCAGTCAAGACTCTGCTCGCAACCTGAGTTTAATCCAGATGGACTCAAGTAGTTGGTTTGAAGTTGATTTAACCTTCTATCCTTCCGATGTCAGTAAACTGGGTACCCAACTCACTGAGGGAGCAAAGTGTAAGCCTGCATGATTAAATTGTAAAGTGCCCAGAGAGAGCTTTAAGCAGTAAGGAGTGGTATATAAGTAGCACACTTTGCTTTTTTTCCCTTTAATGTGTTTTTATTACAAGATGCTAATTTTAAAATAAATATATCTGTGTGGAATAAGGACAATATTGCATTTTTTATATTATCTCAGAATTACCTAATGAAGTATATTAAACAATAAATCTTACACAATATGGTATCATATAGTGATGTATGCTATGGCGTGGCATTTGCTTTAGTAAGTGTATTATTTCAGAAAATTCAAATTTGTTTTAAATTACTCCACTGAGTAGAGAAATTTCATTTTCAATTTGAAAAGCACTAGGGAAGATTGTCTGAAATATGTTTCCTTATAATTAAGTAACTTCACATTTTGTAATCAACTTCTGGTAATTCTATATCGTTTCCAGATGGAAATCTGACACAACCGAAGGAAGTTGAATTTGGAGAATGCTCAGTTACATGTGGTGAGTTAAAAAAAATAGACTAAATCATGCAAGTTGGTGAGTTAATGTTTTTGGGAGCAGGGAACAATATGCCCACATTAGTTGTTTATCCATTGTGATTTCTATGCCCTCATTCACTTCTCATTGATTCCAGTTGTTGATAACTATAATTAGTGAAAACAATCCAGTTGATTGTCATTACAAATTTAGGTCAGATCGGTTGTTAATTTCACAGCCTGCAAGCTCTTTTTTAAACGCCAGCGCCTTTCATTTTTTTGGCTCACGAGCTGCCTTTGCCAAAGTAACAATTTTCTCTATTTGTGAACATCTGTGAGACGTTCAGAGGCTGAAAGACCTTCTGAGGCATCTCACAGATGTCTTCCCACATACAATATTGCCGGCTCCGTTAAAACAAACCTCTTCTTTCCAACAGTCTGCTTTGTGTTCAGCCCCTCACACAGTTTATTAGCTCAAGGATGGTGGCGGTCTCAGAGAGGAGGGGAAGGACCAAATATTGTGTTTTGGCTCAACTGTACCATTGGTGACCATTGTCTGGTAACAGATGCCTGTGCTCTGACAAAGCAAACAGAAAGTAGCCTAGTGGTTATATTTCTTTCAAGGGCTCCATCTCCCAGGTAGTTCACAAAGAGAATCTGGGTCTGTTCAAATTTTCAAATTTCCTTCCATCATTTTCTTTCAGTAAGTATTTTCAATGCTCAATGGCAGATATTTTTCAGTTTTGTTACCTCTGGTCCAATCTAGTAAATTATCTTTGCTATGTAATACTTCCCAGAATTTGCCCTCTCTTTCCACATATCTTCTTTCTTTTATCATACCTACATTATGTGTTTCCTTTGTTCTTTTTATTAAAAATGTGTTACATATTGAAAGCTATCAACAACTCACGCTATGATCAAAACGTTTCCTGCAGTAACTGTATTAGCATCCTGTTCTTCTGTGTCTTCAAGTCACTTCCAATTTATGGTAATCCTATGAATTAGGGTTTGTTTTAAACAAACAAATTAATAAATGTAACATACAATGAAGTAATGTAGAATGCATCAAGGTAAAATAAGATTATTTAAAAATATGCAACAAATATCCAAATAATAAGTTGCCAAATACTGAGATTTGGTAAAATAAGATTATTTAAAAATATGCAATATATATCCAAATACTAAGTTGCCAAGTACCGAGATTTCAGCATCTGTGCTACAGGGTCAGAAGACCAGCAGTCATAAGATCGAATCCAGCTCCTCGCCAACCTAGCAGTTTGAAAGCATGCAAATATGAGTAGATAAATAGGTACCACCTCGGTGGGAAGATAAAAAGGTGTTCCCTAGTCACGTGACAATGGAAACTGTCTTTGGACAAACGCTGGCTCTACGCCTTGAAAGCGGGATGAGCACCGCCCCCTAGAGTCGGACACGACTGGACTAAAAATGTTAAGGGGAACCTTTATCTTTACCTTACCTTATAAGTAATGTACATCAAAACAGCTGCTTACTACAAGGGAAGATGTTAGTGAAACCTATCATTTTGGGAGGTGGGTGGAAAATATAAGTCTAATTTTAAAAGTCAGCATTCTTTTCGAATCAATTTTATACACCACATGCCATCAGAGACAATACAGGTATATGCTGTTAGTTTTATTGTATGTAATATTACTGGGTTTCTTTTTTCTTATATTCACACTATTGGAGAAGAAGAATAGATCTAAAGACAAAATGAAGTCTTCCATAACTGAGCAATGTTTAGAATGATTCTCTGGAATCCCGACCCTTTTTAAAAGGGAATATTAAACCACTGACTTATTTGAACCCCTTAATGTCTGACCTTCATGTTAAATTGCTTTGCTTGCTTCTGAGCCAATTTGAATGAATTGCTTAAGGAGAGTTTCAGCTGATGAGTATGGTGATGCATTAAATTAATATATGGAAAATTACTAGCCATTAAATCATGGAGGTAAGCCATTAAAGTTATGAGGCAGAAAAGGAGCCAAAGTCAGTGTTCAAGGGAAAAAAAGAAAGGGGGGGGGAGTCAAGATATTCAGCCTATGCAGTTCTTTATCTCACACAACAGTTATTTCACCTATTTTGTGTTTGGTTTGGGTATCCATAGACTTGCTGCTCAGAACATGGCGTCTAATACAAGAATCAGTAACCTAAAAAGCAGGTCTTTTCTCTTCTCTTCCCTCTCAGTTGCTGGCAAAATTAGGAAACCCATACATCCAATGGCTCTTTTCCAAAGTTGCATGTGCTTGAATGAGTAGGAGACAAAGTGCAGCCCTCCAGCCGATTTGGGGCAATTGAAATCAACAGGGTGGATGGTGTTGCCTGGTTAAGTCAGGGCATGGAAAAGCAATGGCTTTAGGACTACATCTGAAATTTCCCAGCCCCTCCGGGAATTGGAGTCCAAAAAGAGTAATTTTTTACCTTTAGTCAAGGCTTAGATTCTCCTAGACCCCACTGTACTCTACCCATTTCCATGCCATTGTGCTATGCCAGATGTGAAGATGTCTTTTTTGTAACCTTGCATGTGTCTCAGCCTGAGGGCTTGGGTCTCACTGACAATAAGAACTGCTGCTGAATCAGCTTCTGCTTTTTTAAAAAAAATAAAACGAGGTGTTTCTGTATTTCAAATGGAATCATGGATTATTTTGCCAGGGAACTGTTTTTTCTGGTCGGTAAGCGCTGTAAAATTTTCTTTCGCAAAGCGTGGTTTATTTTAGCAGGCATGTGAAACCCAACTTATTTCAATTGTTTCCTCATATGTAAACCCCCCCCCCCCCCCACCCCGTTTGCTGCAAATTGCACCTTTGTGTAAACAGCAGAGGTGGTGGGAGAGGTGGCAGCAGCCAGGAAAGATGAATGGATGGATGGATGCACAGAATCTGAGAGGAAGGGGAAGACACAAACCAGTTCCTTTCTCTCAAACCCAAAGGAAATGCAAACAGCAATACAAAACCCGATGACACTCACATGACCTCCCGATTCTTGAAGCAGAGCTCGATTCAACAGCGGTTCTTATTGTCAGTGGAACCAAGCCCTAACTTACATAAACTAGGCTATTTTAGAACTCTACAATCAATGCCAATCTTTTAAAAGGCTGCTCTCTATTAGTTGGGTACTAGTGATTTGTCCTGTTGCCTCCTTGATTCATGGCTGGGTTTAGCAGTTAGTCTTTCTTTGAGGGCAAAATCAAATGTTACAGCCCATGATTTGAAGAGGAAAAGCCTTACCGACTGATTTTGTCGAGTGTCACAGCAGGAGCTTCTCTTATGCCCTGGAATTCTTGTGATGTCTGATGACTCAGATTCAAAAGACAGCAGCACTCTCTCCGGCCTTTCAGTTCTAATTATGGGCTATAAAGTATGTTTCTATTTGGAAGAACCCTCGTGGGATATGAGTCTTTTGGTCCAGTTAGAAGGATGCAGTCATAAACCACCCCAATTTCCAAAATTGGAAGAAGTCTTGACAGTTACTTCCCTGATAAATCTCCCGCCCCCCCTTTCTGTTTTTAATTTGATGATTTCTGCATTCTTCATGTGATGATTTGATCACACAAACCAAAAGAACTAGTCATACTTTTCATACCTCTGTTGTACTGAATAATGGTCAAGTGTTATATATACTGGCAGGAATATTCCCATTTGTTTTAACATTACTGATTCATTTCTTCGTATTTGAACCCTTATAGCAGGCTACACTGCTCTAAATTGTGTATTGATTCATTTCCTTTGCAAAGAAAATAAATCGACAGCAACGTTCATACAGCCTGAAATGGTAAAGAATGAAGTGATTCATCATTGGTACAAAATAAATCAACCCTCTCAGCAGGGGGGAAATAAACCTTGGCCGGGAAAATGAGTCAATCATGGCTGTTTGTCACATGACCGGAAATTTAGGAAATTATCTAACAGGGGTTCATTTGGCTGGTGTGATCAGGCCCTGAATTTTCAGGAAGATCCCACAGACACCCAAAACAATAGAATGTCTGATAAAAAAATGCCTTCTTATTGCCGCATGCCCCTCTGTTTTCTGCATCTTTGAAATGAGGCATTTTCAGCTATGTAGCAGGAGCCTTTGTGTGTGCCAGTTCAAGTCAGAGCTGCCATTTAAGGTAATGCTTCATGAGCTACAATATTGCCCAAGAAATATTGCAAAATCCACCAGGATGTATTTAAAAATGCAAAATGCCTCACCTCAAGGTATTTTTTTTTAATATGCAAAAGGATTACTTCAGTATTCAGACTTTGTTCTGTTTATCTCTGGGTCACAGAAGGATTTATTTTTTTAAAAAAAATTATTCCTCTAGTATTCAGTAAACAAAATATTTCTATAACGGATGGCAATCTTTTCAGTATTTACTGGGACTAAACATACTCTTCTCTCCTCCCTCGCATCCTATGCCATTTGAGTGAGCTAAGTATTTGGCAGAAGAAAAAGAGATAAGCAAAGAAACACAGCCCTTGTGTTGAATATATGTTTGAAAATAACATTAAGTTCTTAAGTGAAATGTTGATGTCTGAGATTTGAGCTTCTATATCTAATTTGAATTGCATGTAGGGAGTCCTGTTTTTTGTAGGTGTCACATACAGCACTGATGGTACCTGTCTGTCATGGGTTTGGAGGGAAAATTCCATCCTCACCAGGATGTATTTAAAAATGCAAAATGCCTCACCTCAAGGTATTTTTTTTTAATATGCAAAAGGATTACTTCAGTATTCAGACTTTGTTCTGTTTATCTCTGGGTCACAGAAGGATTTATTTTTTTTAAAAAAAAATTATTCCTCTAGTATTCAGTAAACAAAATATTTCTATAACGGATGGCAATCTTTTCAGTATTTACTGGGACTAAACATACTCTTCTCTCCTCCCTCGCATCCTATGCCATTTGAGTGAGCTAAGTGTTTGGCAGAAGAAAAAGAGATAAGCAAAGAAACACAGCCCTTGTGTTGAATATATGTTTGAAAATAACATTAAGTTCTTAAGTGAAATGTTGATGTCTGAGATTTGAGC